TAACAGAAACCTACCCTTTAAAGCAGCTTTTTTTTGGCTGGAGCAGGGTGACAATGGTGCATGCTGTGCTTTCCTGTTCAGGCGTTCCAAAACAAAGCTTTGGGGTCTTTTTGCGTATTTCATTTGAGTTTATATTTGTTTCAGGTTTAGTTAGTAGTACAGTGGCTGTGCCGATAGTTGGCATAAAGGTGCCTTGTAAGTAGTAGTTTGAACTGTTAAACCATGGAAGTAACACATGGGCCCGCTCAGGGGAGCAGCCTGGGGAGCAAGAGCTCCCCAAACGCCCACAGGCAGTAGGTGTACTAGTGGTTTCCAAAGGCTGAGAAAGCATCTCATGCTGCTGGGGCATACCTAGGAATAGAACCAGGTCCAAGTTTTGGGCTCCATCTCTCCTTACTTACTTGTTGTCTGTCCAGCAGCCGTTAAAGCAAATGAGGAAGATGGAAGCTGCAGCCCCCAGGGTGCCTTGATCTCACCCCTGGTGAAATGCCTCCAGGTTGATGCTCACAGCAAGGTCCATGGGGGTGGTCCATGCTGTCTGTAGTTGGGGGTAGGTGGGAATGCTGAGCGTTTTCCTGGGTGTAAGGTCAGTTTTGGCTGCAATGCCCTCTCCAAGGAGCTGCTCTGACTAATGCAAAATGCTTCAGTTACTACTACATAAATACCTAGGTCTTTCTAAACAGTGCAAAATGAAGAGCTTTATTGAGCGGTGCCCCCCGGAGTTGACCTGGTGCTTTCTGGCAGTGGCCATGGTGGGGACACAGGAGGGCAGGGTGCTCTGCCCTGCTCAGAGCCGAGCTCCCCAGCAGAGGAGGGGTGGCAAAAGCAGCACCTTCATCTGAAAGAACTGCCATGTCATTGGGGTGTATTCCAGAGTCTCCCCCGTGAGCTCAGGGAAGAGTTAGGATAAAATTAGGATAAATTTATCCAGTGCGTGTTAGCATAAATTCTTAAGATCAGACAGAGAGATGAAAACAGGCACTGGGACAGACCCATTAAAAAACATGCACTTATTTGACAGACTGGAATGTTTTTCAAAACAAGATCAGACATAAAGTAAGATAGCGTGGAGTGAAGGCAGAGCTAAAACCACAAAGGACAGCAGGAGTGAACATGTGTGGAACTTGGCATTCTTTTTTCTTACTCCAAAAATGTAGAATTCCTTGGGCCTGAAAGTCTCTGATGCAGATACCAGGCTGTGGAAGCTTTGTCATTTCTACTAAACACTGAGCAAATTATCCTGTTTGGCTGTATAGGGAAAGAGAACTGGACATTTTGTCCAATACATGCTATTTTTATTTTATTTCCTTTCCTTGAAAGAGGTATAAACCAGTAAAAGCAAATACAAAACATTACCTGGAGTTAGCAGGACCCTCAGCAGTGCTGTGCCCAGGCACCCTGCAGAGGGGCTGCGGTTCTGAGGGATGACGATGTTCCCTCATTTCCCTTGGTAAATCAAACTATTACCTTCCAAACTGCACCGTGCCTCAGCCTGGTAAACCTGGAACCTTTATTTTTGTGTGGTGGTGTGTTGTATCCTATGTTTTCCAAGCAAGCGAGCCAGTGTAACCCGCCCTGTAGTGCAAAGGGACACAGAAAGAGAGAGGAAGATAAAATGAATTTAAATTCCAAAGGGGTTTCAGTGCTGGTTTCCTAGTCCCCGAGTCAGCAATGTGTTTGTGAAAATTCAGCCTTTTTGTCTCTTAGAAAAAAAGGGCTAAATCTACATCGGTGGCCCAGTCTAGGTTTGCTATTCTTTGCATTTTCTATTCAAGTGAATGAGAGTGAATGAAGTGGCCTGGGACCCTTTATTTGATCTACTCAATTGCATAAAGTGACAGAATTCTAATATATTTGTTTAATGCTCTTCAATGGGGCTTTCACTTTCCAGCTTGCAAATGAAGGCTCAAGCTGCAAAGTTTTGTCCTTTTTTTCTTTCCCCTCTTTTTTTCCCTGGCAGAGGGACCATATTTCATAACTCGGGCCACGGTTTGAAGTGATTTCGAGAGGAGTTTTAGACTCGAAAAGTGGGAAATAAAGAAACAGATGTGAAGTTATTGTAAATTCTTATAGTGGGCTCTGGGGCTATTGTAAACCCACTGCAGGCGGTCCAAAGCCTCTCTTTTTCATGCTGTAATTGAAACATATTAATTAGATAATTTGTTGTTAGTTTAAAAGAAAACAAATACAGCCCCTCCAAGGCTTCACAGCCCCGGCTTCTTTTTGTTAATAAAAACAAAACAAAAAACCACAATCCACTAAGTGACATTTATATTAAGATTCCGAGCTAATTCGGCGCTGGGGGGTGGGGGGCTGTTGGAATGAAGCTGCTCAGTTTTGTTTCCCTCTCCCCAGCCCCATTTTTGCTCGCAAGCACCTCGATAGAGGGGTCAGTCCGGAGGGGGAACTTGTCACACGTAGGGGGGGGAGAAGACTCAAAAAATAAAGAAAGAAAAAGGAAAAAAGGAATATCCCGAGGAGAAAGGATTCCCATTCCGTGAATCACTGACGGGATCGCAGCAACCCGGCTCCCCGGGTTTACCGCGCACAGCCGGGCTCAGCTCCATCCTCCGGGAGGAAAGAGCTTTTGCCTAGAAGGAGCGGGCTCTGTGCATGAGTGCTTTTAATGGCATAAAATAAACCTTAAAGGCATTCCCCCGGCCCTCCGAAATGCCGAAACCCGACGCAGGGCTCGGCCGCTCTGATGCTGTAGCCCCCGCGCCCCTTCCCTGGCTCCGGCTGCAGCCCCGTGTGTATTGACATTGGACTTGAGCCATCAGGGAGACAGAACGAGCCGGAGCAGCAAATTCGAGCGAGGCGCTGAGCCGCGGATTTGTTTGAAATAAGCAGCGCAACGCTTCGGGGAGCGCGTTGGGATGCGCGCTGGAGGCCGGGAGGTCCCGAGCTCGAGCAGAGAAAGAGGAAGAGGAAAACGGCACTTTAAAAGTTCGGGTCGAGTCTTGCTACCGGGTTACGTATTGAGGAAGCCAGTGCGCCTTTTGGAGGTGTTTCCCGTTGGGGCGCGATCTCTTCAGATCGTTATCGCCCCTGATCACTGTGTCTTTTTAAAAAAGACCCTGAAAGTGCATTTTCACTTCGTACTGAGCTCGGGTTTCATCAGTGAGGATTTGTTCTGACTGCTAGGTTTTACAAGGGGAAAAAGGAAGGAAGGAGGAAACGAGTCCTCCTCGTCTAGAAATGTGGGTCATCGCTTGGTTAGGAAAAGTTTGTCGAGTTATGTGTCCATTGATCTGGCGATAAGTTGTGAATGCTTTCTTTAGCTGATCTTGTTGATATAATCGTGGGCTGGACTTGATGAATGAGTTCAGTTGTCCCCCATCTGACAAGCTTTAGCAGCTTCATGCATTTTAATCAGCCCAATGATTCATGTATTTTCCACCTTTTTTCTGTGTGTGGGATCCGTTCTCTGGAAAGAAAAAAAAAAAGGTGGCAACCGGATTCATCACCCTCCGCGTTAATCTCGGGGCTTTGGTCCGTGGTGAGGAAACGGGCATGTCCCGTGGTCATGGTTCAGGGGCTCGGAGAGCTCGGGTAGGGGCAGACCACGCAGCACCGCTGCACCACACAACGTTCTTTCCTCTCTAATGACCCCTCAGGTGTCCGGAGGTCCCGTACCTGCGCGCCCGGCGCCACACCTCCGCCACACGGGTTCACTCCTTCGCGTCTGTCATTGCCAGAGGTTGCAGAATCCTTGTAAAATCCGGCTTGGTAAAAGGGACTGGCTGTTGGCTTAGGGAAAACCGGGAACAATTGTGAGGGTTACAGATTGCAACCCACTGCTTTGGGAAAGCAGGATCGATAGAGACAGAGCATTGATACTAGGGGTTGGAGTGACTGCTTGGCTTGAGGTGGTTTAACGACAGGTAGAAGGCTGCGGGAGCTCGCCGGTACCCGAGCAAGATTTCGAGATGCCACTTTTAAGAAAAACCCCAGATGACAAAATTTCAGTGTTCTCAGTCTTTGAAAGTATCTAATTCTTTATAGATTTTGATGTTTGCTCTGCATTGCAGAAGCTCAGTTTTATACTTTTTAGAGAAAATTTAACTGGTGGTGTGTAGGTGATAAATACACCTCCACACAGGAGTAGATGTGATCCGTGTTTATATGCGGTCTAATTGTATAGGACACAAACGCGTGTGTGCGTATGGATATATGTAGAGATCTATAGGTACAGAACCCCCAGAACATGCTCATGTGTGTCACCTCTTCTGTAAACCGGTGATAACGACAGTTTTACCCAGCGTGTTCTGGGATGTGAATAACGACATTGATAGTAACCTCCCTGAAAGGCTGTTCATATGATCTAGATAGTGACACTTCATTCCCATGAACGAATGCTTCGACTTCCCTCTTGTAAACTCTTTGAAAAGACAAATAAGAAACTAAATCTGCATTTCCATATTTTAATGAGAAAATATTATTTGGACGACTAGGTTCATAATTTAACGTAGACACTTTTTTAACCTTTGTCTTAAAACACACATGCTGGGAACAAGAACACCAAGATTTAAAACGCCATGCTCATTCTGTACAGGAAAAAGGTGAAAAAGAAACGTCTTTACAATTCCAATAGACACTAATGCCGTTTGTGAGGGGGTTTCCTTTTTTTTTTTTTTCCTTTTTCTTTTTTTCTTAAGCAGTTCACAACAGAACAACAGTTCAGTTTCCAGCAAACTACCTAAAACTAGGAAGGAGTATATCAAACAAAAGTGCATTTTACACGATTTAGAACCATTCCTATGCACAAACATGTACAGGTCCCCCAGCCCCCTCTCTCTGTCTGCAAAGCCCCAGCAGCAACCGGGGTGGCCCCGCGGTTTGTACCTGCTGCTGCCGTGTTGCCGGTCACTCCAGCAGCTTTGCTTAAGCCGTGCCGGGTTGTGCTTGGTGACTGGCGTTGGGTTTGGTTTGTGCTTTTGGGTTTTCAGTTGTTACCATTGTTGCTATGAAATAAGTAGCCAACAAATTTAAAAAGCTCCCCAAACCTTCCCGTTAACCGGAAGTGCACAGACAAAGCAACTTCTCTTTCTCTTCCATCTGACGACTACCGTAAACCTCCGCATTACAACAGGTACTGCGAAGGGGCCTCGTCGGTTTGCAGGACAGCTGCAAGTTCAGTATTTACATTCGAAGAGGTGCTTTGTAAACAAAACGGGCACGGAGCGGGTGAACGGGCGCCCCGCCGCAGCCGGGGGGACCTACCGCCGGGATCCCCATCTGGGCCCGTTCCCTGCGGCCCCTCAGCCCCCCCTCGGCGCTCCCGCCCAGCCGGCCCCCCAACGCACAAAGGCCCCGGGCACTTCCCGGCTTTTCCACGACCCAAGCGTTTGCTGCTCGGAGACTGGAAACGTCGCCGCTCTCCTGCAGTGAGACTGCAGCCGTTCCATGCTGTTGGTGCGTCTAAAGCTCGGTCCTCCGTAAGCCCCGCTCTTGCCAGACAAAGGAAGGCCAGGAGGCAGCGCCGGGCCGGGTTCGCCCGGTCCAGGCAAACAGGAGATGCCTGAAGTACTTTGGGAAAACCAGTGGTGCCCGTGGCAGTTCCTACCGGCGGGGAGTGGGGCCGGGCCGGTGCGTTTTGCCCCAGTAGAGCAGAAACCAAAGTTCAGGGCCGGGAAAGGAGCCGAGCCTCTAAAGAGGGCACGGCCGGGGGCGAGGTGGAGAGGGCAGCTCGGGCGAGCGGCAACACCTCAGCTGCCCGCGAGAGCTGCCTGAGCTCGAGGGGAAGAGAAGCGGGAGAAGGGGAGGGAGGAGAGATCCGAGGAAACTCCGGGAGAAGGGGCGGCGGAGTCCGTGAGATCGGCCCGGGTCAGTGCACGGCCACGGAGTGCAGCGCGGGCGTCGGGCTGGTGAGAGTCTCGCTGGGGGTGGCCGGGCTGCTCTGGCTGGTGGCCGTCTGCGAGGACGTGGGGCTGAGGGAGGGCGGCGAGTTCGAGAGGATGGTGGGGATGGGCGCGGGCAGGGCAGGCAGGGCCGGCACCGCGGCCGGGGCAGGCTTGATGGGGACGGGGATGGCCGGCAGCGTCTGCCCACCGTGGCAGAGCGGCTTGAGGGGGACGCCGTAGGCGCCGTACTCGCCGCTGGCCATGGAGATGGGGGTGGCGGTGTCGATCATGCCGGAGCTGTACATGTGGGGCCAGCCCGTACCGATGGAGCTGCCCACCGTAGTCAACTGGTTGGGAAGGGGGTAGGCTGCCGGCATGGGCTGCATGGTGGAAAAGGCGAGCCCCCCGGGCATCTTGTATTCTCTGGCGATGATGTTCTCGATGGCGAAGGGGTGCTTGAAGCTGGAGGTCTGGGACACGCCGAGGTTGTAGGTGGGCATCTGGGGCAGGTGGGTGCCGGAGGCGGCCAGGGCGCTGAGGCGCAGTTTGGCCTGCTGCTGCAGGTACTGCGCCGCATCCGACGGCTTGCTGGGCGCCAGCTGCTCCGAGCGCAGCACCTTGAAGCGCTTGCGGCGGCGCAGGAAGCTGCCGTTCTCGAACATGTCCCCGCAGCTGGGATGCAGCGCCCAGAAGCTGCCCTTGCCCGGCTGGTCGGGGCGGCGCGGGATCTTGATGAAGCAGTCGTTGAAGGAGAGGTTGTGGCGGAGGGAGTTCTGCCAGCGCTGCGTGTTCTCCCGGTAGTAGGGGAAGCGGTCCATGATGAACTTGTAGATCTCGCTCAGGGGCAGCATCTTCTCCGGGGAGCTCTGGATCGCCATGGCGGTCAGCGAGATGTAGGAGTAGGGAGGCTTCTGGTCGCTGTAAGTGTTTCTGCCCGGGCGAGGCATCTTCGGTGGGGGACCCGCGGATATCTGCAGAAGGGCAGCGACACGGAGGGGGCCGGGTGCGGGGTGAGTCCGAGGAGGTTTGCGCCGACACCCAGCCTGGGAGCGGGCGGTGTGGGGCCGCGCTGCGGGAACAAGGGCTCGGGGAAGGGGCCCAGAGGCGTTCGGCCCCCGGGGGCAGGATGGGGCTGGGGGAACCGACCAGAACTCCGCGGAGCCGGCAGCGGAAAGCTCTGTGTGCCCTCCTGCCAGCACCGGCCCCCTCCTCTCGGCCTCCCCGCGGCAGCCCGCGCCCCTCAAGTTACCCGGGTGGTAGCTCTGCCTTCTGGTCCCGGCGAAGAGGAGAAGGGGATGCCCTCCCCTCGCCCCGTCCCCCACCCCTCTCTACGCCAGACCCGCATATGCCCACCTTAAAGTTGCTCGAAGTTGACAGTCCGCATCCGGGACGCAGCCGGAGTCCGGGCTCTTTCCCGCCCCGCTCCTTCGGCGTGTCTCCTTCTCCTTCCCCGGCCGCTCTGCTCCGGTTTAGTCCTGAGGAGACAGCGAGCTGGCTCGGGGTTGGGAGTCCTCCTGTACACCCTCCCTTCTCCTTTGCGGGCTTCTTTTACACCACCGGCAGCTGGGCTGTAGCAGAGGCTCGTTCGCTTCTCTGCAGCCGCAGTGAGCTAAGTAGTTGCCTCCATGTCCTTCCTCTAACCATCTGATAGTTTTATGTGGTGACATGAGCAGAAAAGACCCCTGTAGAGGCGCTTCATTAATGTGCCACTTCTTTGCTATCATCTGACAATCGCCTTGGGAGCAGGGGGAGGGGAACGGGGAGGAGGGGGCTGGGAGAAAGGCATAATCTGGTTTCATTTACACCTATTTACATGGACACCTTGGGCCAATGGGAATCATTTCCATTTGAAGACAAGGCGAGGGGTGAAAAGGCTCCGCCAGCGGAATCGCGGTGCGGTGGGACCCAGTGCCTGCGGGGGGGGGGGGGGGGGAATATGCACTAACCTCACTGTGGACTTTGCAGGAAGCTTAGTCTGCAATTCACACTTACCAGCGGAGGTGCCGAGCAGTGGGATGTTTGACATGGAAATTGCTTGGCTGTGGTATTCTGTTTGTTCTGCATTGTTATCTGATTTGTATTGTTGGCTAACTTGAGGCGAGCCTTTCTCCCTGTAAGGAGAGACTTTCTCTGCCAAATCCGCTCTCCCCGAGCGAAGGTTCTTTCGAGGAGAGAACAGATCAGGGCTCCGTTGTCCCCAGGGCGCTGTACATCACTCCAGCTCCGCGGACCTGTTGGTGCAAAGCTGGGGACTCACCTTAGAACCCCCGGCAGCGGCCGGGGCACGGCCCCGGTGGGCTTGGGCCGAGCTGCCCCCGGGGCGGGCGACCGGTCTGTATCAGCGGTCACTGTTCTAAATACCCGGGAGTGTGTGATGTGTATTCCCGAGGCTGCGGTGCATCCTGTCACCCTGAAAACAGAATATGAGGTTTACAGGGGAGGAGAGAGGAAGAGCCTTGGTGGTGAATACACATCCAGGTCGTTAAAAGTATTTTCGTAGCCGGTCAATAACTCACCAAAACGTAACTTAAACACGATGAATTTAGGAGATTAAACAGTTTCATTAATATTGAAATGGCTGCTGAGGCTGAGCGCGCCCGCTTGAGATGCAAGCACACGTTTTTCAATATTAACAGAAGTACTTGAGGAAAAGAATAATGTCACCTTCTTAATTCAGCAAAAACAGCCGGGGGGCGGGGGGAACGCTGCTGCGGGGCTGGCAGCCTTCTCGGGGGACAGTGCCCATGGAGCTGCTCCCCCCCAAACCCCACGGCAGCTCCGGCTGGTGGGTGTTAAACTGCGGCACCCGCTCCAAACCGCTGCCCTCGGTCCCATCTAATCCCTCTCTCTCGGGGCAGGATGTCGTTTAAAGAATAATTGGCAAATAACTGTGTTACTCGGAACCCGAGCAGCCGGCCGCGGCCCCTCGCTGCCAGGCTAACGAGCCCTTTTGGGGGGACCTGCCGCTTGTGTGTCCCCGCTGGAGCGGTTCGGAGTCCGGCGCTGCCCTCCTCGGTTCCCGGCCCCGGATAGGGAGGGAAGGCGGCCCCCGACTTTTGGGGGGTTATGGTGAGAGGTGACGAGCCGGTGGACGTTTGTTAGAGGGCAGGAAAGACAATACTCTGAAATGAGGAGAGATTCCTCCCAGCATCCCTTAGGACACCGAGCTTCTGGTTTTGAACCGAGAGATGCCCCCAAAACCTGGGTTTAATGGACACCTCCCCCAAAGTCTAACACCCCTTGGGTCGGGTTTTGTCTCTCAAACCAAATTTGCTACTGTCAAACGCAGAGCTCAGAAACAGCGCGGGAGTGACTAAAATCAGTGGCTGACAAATCCTTTCTCCTCTTTCTGCCGGTATCTTTTCGAAGAAAGAAAAGAAAAAGCCAAAAAACAACCACCGGCTCAAATGGGAACTCTCAAGCTGTAAAGTTAAAGGAAAGTCGCCTTCCGTTGTCATTTGCTGTCTGGGTGCGATCGAGGTACGGATGCACTGCGCCCGGGTTGGAGGGGTTGGTTTTATTTATCCCCCCTCCCAGTGCGAAGGGCTGAGTGAGCGCACGGGTAGGACAGGCAAAGCCACCCTGGCAACCGGCACCCGCGGGCTCACCTCGTGTGGAGCACGCAACAGATGACGGACCTGGGCAATATAGGGTTTAATTGTGACTTGTAACTTTGCCTTTTACTGTGAAAAGCCAGCGTTAGAGAGGAGGAGGGGGTGCGAGTGAATCTAAATCCATTGTGTGGAAAAACAAAACCAATCGACGTTTTTCTGAAGCCTAATTCAAATATGGAGCTCAGGGGAAGTGTTGGGAAAACTGTATAAAATACACATAAGTCAATTATATCAATGTGCAAGACCAATGGAATCTATTTGGTGCAATAACCATTCAGCCTTTGCATGGAGCCCATCACGGACCACCTTTCTGCATGGAAGGTTCCCAATAGCTCCCTTTCCCACAAGCAGGACCACACACGTTTACAGATTTGGTAATAATTTATGCTAATTTTCCTCCATAAATCCACAATTCGCCTCAGTGGCAAGCGGGGCTGTTGAGAGAGGAAAAGGAGACAGAAAAGTGACAAATGCAATATTGATTTTGAATCCTTGTGGCTGCAAGCAGGTGTGTGGCTGTGCAGAGCGGAGGAGTGGGAGCAGGGCTGGGGGGAGCCGAGAAGTTTTCCAGGGATAAAAAAAAAGGAGAAAAAAAGAAAGAAAAACTCCACTCTGTGTGAGAGAATAGCTCACAACCTTGTTAATATTTACAAACCAGTTGGGAGAAAAGAGAAGGGAGGGGGGAAGTACCAGCTTCTTAAGGTTTCCTAGGCTGCAAAACACAATGCCAGGCTCCGAGCAAGCTTTCCCCGGTTTGGGAAGTCAGCCCTGGGCTGCCGGTTGCTGCTGCGGTTCGGCTGAGCTTCGCTGTTTTTGTTTTTGTAATGGCTCTGCTTCTCTTGGCTTCTTGGGGGCCGGGCGGGAGAAGGAAATGGAGAGATTTGGGCTCTCCAGCTCTTCTCGGTGCTGGAGGTCCCAGTGCGGTTCCCGAAGCGCTCTGGGAACGGCGAGGCTCTGTCCCACCCGCATTCTTCACCGCATCTGCCACTTTGGCGTGAAGCTACTTAGCGCCCTTTCAAAGGGATTTCGTCCCTTGCCCGAGGAGCACTAACCCCCCGCCTGTTCGGGCTGGCTGCGGTCTGCTCCCCCACCTGCGCCAGCGGCCCCTCCGCCCGTCTGTGTCCGTCCGTCCCCCCGCCCGCCGCCTCCTCGTCTCTGCTTCGTGCCGGCTCCGGTGGGCGATGCCCTCGCCCGCCCCGTTGTGGGGTTCCAGCGCCAATGGCCTGATCGGGCACCAGCCCCGCCGGGGCCGCACCGGGGAACGGGGGATCCCCACAGACCGGGGACCCCTCCTGCTCAGGCTGCAGGACCGGGGCCGTGGCGGCCCTGCCCGAGGGAAACAGGTGGAGGGTGCCCAAGCACCCCGGCCCGGGGTCCGCCTGCGTGCGGTGCGCGGTTGTGCGGTTGTGCGGTTGTGCGGTGAGCTCTTCTCCCCCCGCTCCACCCAGCACCGCCGGTCGATCCACCGTCGCAGCGCCGCGGTCCCCCCAGACCCGCCGGCGACCCCCCAGGGCGGCTCCGAGGGGTGCCCGGGTTACGCGGGTCCGACACGACGAGTGCCCCCCTGCTCCCCTCCCCCCGGGGATGCGGGCTCAGCCGCCGCCTCCACGCCGCTCCCGAGAGTTGCGTTAGCGCGGGTTCCAGCCTGAGTCTTGCCGCTACTGCCCCGAGAGCCTGGCTTTGCGGTAAACTTCCCTTCCCGGGGCCGCTGGGTGTTTATCTGCACGTTTGGGATTTGTGGGTTTGTTTATTTATTTATCTGCAGAAGCATCAGGGAAGGCCTCGCCAAGTTCTTCTTTTTAATCTCCCCTTTTAAATAAATGTCGCGTTTCAAGCTGCCCCCTCTTCTCTTTTTGGCATTGTAGGAAATATTGAAAATGCCACCTTAGTATTGAAGGGATTAACTTGCTTTTCTCCCAGGCGCTAACTCTGGTGTAAAGGGAGCAGTAGATCAACTGTATAATGTGTGCACTGTTTGGTCATTTGTACAAGCAGAACAAAGGTTGAGCTAAGCCAAATTGCATTGCACTTGTGAACCGAGTCCCAATTTGAAGTATCTTTTACAGCAGGGGGAATGAGAACAATTTCGTGTATGTCTAAAAGGGAATAACAAAGCCACTTTCTAGAGCATCTCAAAGTGAAGTAGTGAGGCGTGACATTCCCAGGGTGAGGAGGGACAAAGGCAGGGTCAGGGGGATGAAAAAGGGAATCAAACAGCCACTTTCACATGTCTGCCCTCAACTGCTGCACCTCTCCATAATAGGAAACAACTGTTGTAAAAAGGGGGATTGCTCCCATTCATTCAAAATAGCAAATGATAGCTAAACAACATTGTCAAAACTGAATCAACTTCTGTGCAGTACCACCCAGAAAAAGGTATTGTGCTTTGGTTAATAGCTGGGTGGAGCAAACTCGATTTGCCTTTCTTTTGCTGCCTTCTTTTTGGTTTTGTTTTTTTTTTTTTTTCCTTTCCCTTTCCTTTCTTTCTTTTTTTCCTTTTCTCTCTCTCTTTTTTTTTTTGGTTTTTTTTTTTGGAACTCTTCTCTCCAGCTCAGGCCATGTCATAAACCTGGTGTTTAATCATCAGCCTTTTTTCCACGTCTGGTTCCTCTCGCCCGATCTGTCCCCCTCAGCTCACTCTCCCTTCGCTGTTCCGTACAACACCAGAGAACAGAAAACCGAGCTGAGCCCGGTGCGGGATCAGCCGCCCATGGGAACCTGCCCGGGGCTGCGCGTCGGTGCCGCCGGGCAGTCCCCTCTATATGACCGATTTGTCTCATAGCCAACATTCTGAAATGGCTTTTATGACAATCGAGGATGATTTTAAGTTATAAATCCATCAGAGTAACGGCGTGCATGGTGCGGTGGTTTCCTCTCTGTAAAACCGCGTGCTCGATTCGGGCTCAGGCAGACTTCGAGGGACGTTTCCCCCACGTGTGAGTCCTTAACGAGACGGGATAACGGGGTGAGACCGCTGAGCACCTGCGGGGTTCCACCCATTGGCGGGGCCCTGCGCTTTCCACGCCACCCACCGAGCGGCCCTCACCGGGAGGACAATCCCCGGGCCCGTCTTACGGGGAAGCGGCCACTGTGTGTGTGTTGCAATGCCTATTTCCCTTTCCCTTCCACTCTCTACCTTTCCTCTTTCCTATAACACGAGCAACAATCCCATCTTCCCGTCAACCGTCTGCTCTGCAGCAAAACCCGCATTAACCTTCTT